TGTATATATGGTTTATCTTTCTTTCAAAATTATGCTCAAAATTTTAGTATGGTCATTTAAACCATGCATGGATGAGAGAAGGCAAGAAGCAACAAGCCAGTAAAAGGGAAATACATGGGTCAAGGATTGAACCTTGAAACACATGAAAATTTAATAAATAGGAGCTCTGGTGGCGTAGTGCCTAAGGCATTTGACTGGTGATGAGAAAGTTGGTGGTTCAAACCCACTGGCCACTCTGCAGAAGGAAGACTGGGCAGTCTACTTCCATAGAGATTTACTGCCTCAGAAACACAAAGGGGGTCACAATGAGTTGGAATTGTCTCAATGGCAGTGAGTTTGGTTTTTGAGTTTAGGCTAAGAAAGGTGAAATTAGTGTCATTTTGTCTAAGATTGAAGAAAAGCTTGGGTGTGGTCTGACAGATGACACTTAATAGCCTCATTTTTCTGCACTACAAAAACAAAGTTGAGGGTGGTGGAAGAGTTCACTAGACTTCACAAGACAAAGTAAGATTTAAATTTGCTATATGGGAAAGTAATAGTATTTGTTAGAGCATCACTGCAGTTCTGGTACTACCTGATTGTGTAAGCAAAAATCCAGTGCCATGTAGCTCCTCTCATTCCTTTTAGAGTTATTCCATTAAATTTTCAAAAAACTGAATTAATTGATTCTGTATGATTGTGTGTGTGTATGTGTGTGTGTGTGTATATATATATATATATATATATATATATATATTATGGCAGTCAAATTAATAGCTAATACCTTATCAGTATACTATTTGGTATTAGATGTTTTATAGGAATTATCTAATGTAATTTTTGTAATAGTCTTATGAGGGTTATAGATACTGTTCTTTTAATAGATAAGAGATTTAGGTTAGCCAGTTTTTTCAAGTTAAGCTGTTACATTGTGGGACTGGGATTAGAACCTTCTTCAAAGGGTATGCTCTTGACTGTCATGTACTGTATATTTAATGTTTTGTTTAGCACTGAAGAAGGTCTACAAAAGAAATGAGATACATGATTATGTTAGTGTAATTAGATGGTATGGTATTCAGATGAAATAGATAAATGTATGAGGTAGCATATAATTGATGTGAAGGCTGGGATCTCTATACATCAGAATGGATTTGTTATGCTTCCTAAAGAAGGTAAGGTTTCATTTAGTTACCACTAGAATCTGATAAATTGAGGACACAATGGTAGAAGTAAGTTCAAGTTCATATAAAAATAACATACCCTTGATTGGAAGGTTACCTGAAGGAGTGAATGTATGATGTAGATGGTGCTGTTGTGCCTTGAAAGCTAGATCGAGTTTAAGCACTTGGCTTAAATGTAGGGATTTGACAATAGATTGGTGTTTTTATCAGTAACATTTAAATGACCTATCATGTTTAATTTGGGTATATTACAGCTTCAACACGGAAAGCCATTTAGGCCTTTGTAAAGGTAGATATGGAAGGTCTGAATATCAGGACTAAGATTGTTGTAGTTAAAATGAAAAAAGGGAGACATAGGAAAAATAAAAAATTCACTTCGTAGAAATCTAGGTAGACAGTATTTGGTAAGAACTGACTTTTGGGGTCAGATTAGTATAGGCTTAAATCCTAGCTGTCACTGGACTAGTTTTGTATTCTTCACTTTGGCAGATTACATTTTCTCAAGTAAAGACTGAATTCCTAATCACCTGCCCCACAAGGTTTTTGCAAGGGTTCAGTGAGGTTAGTATGTATTAAGTGCTTGATGTGTAGTAAACATTCAGCCAGAGGTGGTGGTGGTTGTATGCCATGGAGTGGATTCTGGCTCATAGCCAACCTATATTGACAGTAGAACTGCCCCATAGGGTTTCTTAGGCTATAATCTTTATGAGAGCAGATTGCCACTTCATTTCTCTCATGCAAGTTGGGTTTAAACTGCTAACCTTTTGATTAACAGCTAAGTGCTACCTTCTGATTAACAACTAAGTGCTAAAACTATTATGCCATCAGGGCTCCTTACAACCTGAGGCTACTGATACTAATTTCATGGCCCTTTGACATTTCGGGGATGAATATTTTTGGTAATTAAGTATGTGTATATGCAGGATGCCCAGGAAAGTAAATTTAGTGGTGGTGTTTTGTGCTGCCGAGTCGGAGTCGACTCATAGCAACCCCTTTGGGTTTCCGAGGCAGTATCACTACAGAAGTAGATTGTCCAACCTTCCTTCCGAGGAGTGGCTGGTGGGTTTGAACCGCCAGCCTTCTGGTCAGCACTCAAGTGCCTTGGGCATTATGCCACTAGAGCTCCCTCAAGTAACAATATTGTTTATAAACTCCCAACTTCAAAGTAAGGCAATACATAAATCAGAACATTTTTATTTATTAGAAATTATCCTTTTAAGCAATAAAAATAAATTATAATTTTTATGTTTTATGTTGTTTCACTTGGCCAAAGTTTAAATACAAACTGTTAATGCCAACTGGTGGTAGGTGTTTTCAGTAGCTGTTCTTAAATTAGATCTCAAAAGCATATAAATTATAGAATTTTCTAGATTCATAGCTGCACTGGACAAAAGCATATCACGAAGGTCACTGTCTTGGTTGGGATAGACTGTTTTTAGACAGGCTTTCCATGTGGTAGTAATGATGAACCATATGTAGTTCATGACTAACTTCTCACTGTCTTGTTATCTAACATTTCTTATTTACAATAGTAAAAAAATCTGTTATTCAACTTTTGTGCATTAACAATACACATCTATCTGGCAATAAGATAGCTGTAAGGTGAGAGTAACACTGATGGTTAAGGTTATTTGTCAGTTTGTCATTGGTTTGGCAGTTATGGAATGATGCAGTCATCCTCCATTTTTGCACAACACTAGTTTTTGAATGACTTGGTCTCTGGAACCTAACACTGCACCTAAGTGAGGAGTTGGGTGTATAATACAAAGAATTTTCCCAGTAGATGAGTCAAAAATCTTTGGATTCAGCAAATGTCCTGGTTTGGGGCATATGCTTACCTCTGAACTAACCACTACTAAAGATTTTATAGTACTATACTTGGTCAGGCTTGTATTCCTGGAGTCCCAGTTGAACCACATTGACAGAGAAAGGAAAACTGGAGGAGGTATATGGGTTCCTGAAGGAAATGAATTAGAAAAGGTAGTTGAGGCAAATTTGCCTTGCTGAATTCCTTTAAAAAAAAAAAAAAAATCAAACATTGATGTCACTGAAACATTTATTTCCCTAGGTGGAAATAACTTAAAAAATGTAACATTTTAGTTTTTGTATATTTCAGAGGATTTTTTTTTTTCTTTCTCAGGCTTCTGAATGCTTATGATGAACATCAAACACTCCTAAAAGAACAAGATTCTTTAAAAAGGAAAGCAGAAAATGGGTATGTAACTTCTTGCTGAATCAAGGATGCTTAAAGGAAGACATTAAAGAAATATTTTTAAGTATCACCATTAAGATGTAAAACTTAAGAGTTTATGATTTGAGGATAATGTAAAATAAATGTGCACAGACGACATTCGTTAAAGTACATGTCTGTCGGACATTAGAAAGTTTCCATTTTGACTTTTATTTATAGATCAGAAGAACCAGAGGAAAAGAAAGCACACACAGAAGATACAACTTCATCATCTACACAGATGATTGATGGTGATTTACAGGCAAATCAAGCTGCATATAATTATAGTGCCTGGTATCAGGTGAGTCCACATATTCATAGTAGAATACACTATATGCTTGTTGTCTTTTGTGGTTGTCTTTCAAGTTTCAGCAGTGAACACATGCTTATTTTCTTAAACATACCTGCTTAATTTTGTATTTACATATGAAACTCAGCCAAAATTCCATTGTGCTAACATGTTTACTTTCTCCTTTCAGTACAATTATCAGAATCCTTGGAATTATGGACAGTATTACCCTCCTCCTCCAACCTGAAGGGAAGATGTAAATTTCAGATGGAGTGTGTGAAAAGTATGAAATTATTTTTTTTTTAGTGAGGGATGTAAACATAGCATAAGCTTGTCATTATCTGATAACTGTCTTCCCTGTTTCTGTGTTAACATGATTGTTTAGTGATAGGGAAAATGTCACATAGTAGCTTACCACAGATACTGTTTCCTACCATTTATAAAATTTACTTTTTATTGGAGAACTATTTTTTTTATTTTTGCATTAAGTGGTGTAGAATAATTTTGAATGCATTTCCAGCAAAATTTTATAGCCTTAAGGGTATGAAAAAAAAACTGACTGCAAATCATGTCAGTATAGTACAAGATTCTGAAAACACACAAGGGCTGGTTATTAAGGATTTACCTCCTCTGTAAAAAAACAAAACAAAACTGATTTTTAATCTTTGCTGACAGTGGGTTTGTCTGTATAATTATCCTTGCTGTGAATTTGGATCTAATTGCAGAAAGGGTACATTATTAAAATTATATGCCTTGGGATAGAGATTATAAATGAGAAAATGGAAATGTTTGCATCCCTTAAAATAGAAAATCACATTGAAAGTATATTGATGTTTCAGGAGAGTTTGTATTTAGAATATTCATGTAAAACTTGTGAGCAAGCTTTTTTCATTTTGATCAAACTGATCATCTTTATTTTTTTTTGTAATAAAACTCAAGACTTGTCCAGTAATTGTTTATGAATTTATTTTTTTGGGGGAATCACCTCATAATAATAGTAACTTTATACTTATTATTAGTGGGTCATTGATTTTGAATTACATGCTCCCTAAATTTAAGCTATTCTATTAATGCCAAAAATCTCTTAGAACTTTTAAACTTTCTATTTTCTCTCAAGATCTATGCTTTTATATAGAAATAAACAAAGATTTTAAGATGAGCATCTATGGCAAATCCTCAATTCAGACAATCATAAATTACTCTCTGGTCTAATATGGTCCATAAAAACCCAAAACCACCACCATAGAGTTGATTCCAGTTCATACTGTGGTTAACCTAAGCAGAACATTAATATATTAACACCAAAGAAATCACAGTCAGATCAAGACAGTGGATAACTTTATAATTGAGCCTTTTAGTTTACAACATGAGGTAAAAGGAAAATACTCTTTAACCAATATTTTACGGAGCTGTAAAATATTTTAGATGTTAAGGATTTATAATAAGGGATTACATTTCTCAAAAGTTGAGGACTGAGTAAATAGGTTTTAACCTACTGGAATTTACCAGTTGATTCCTCCCTTAAATACAATAGTAACCAGCTCTAATTAGTTACTTAAGTTTTTTTTCAAGGCAGTTGTATCATTGTTGGCTTTGTCTTTAGACCTGAAGTGTTGCTATTTCAATCAATATCCACTAATTCCACTTCAAAAATCAGTTTTGCATTTGGTGGAATTCTGTTGAAAACGTCAAGGTAAATTTGTTATTACAAAACAAAAAACACCCTGCCTGCCCCACCCCATCCTTAGTTTAAAATTAGAATTACACATACTGAATATTAGTAATTAACCCCAAAGGGAAGAGCTTTGTAGTTGATGCAGAGGCTAATAAATACTAGCCTAGAGGTTCTCAAGAGTATCTTTGTATTTTCTTTAATGGGAAATGGAGATCATAATCTATCCACATATATAGGTTGATTCAGTAAGCTGAGGTTGGAGTAGGAAAATCCTCTATCTGGAGGCCTCACTTACACTGTCAAATTATCCACCACTTAATGAAAACTGCTGAGAACTAAAAAAAAAAAAGTATAACTGTTACATTTAATCAAAATTCATATAAAGTTAATACATGATACTGTGAATTTTAAGTGGTAAGTTTAGAGAAGGGTGTGATATTGATGTGTATCAGCAAAGGTCTTTGGATGCTTCACGAAAGAGGGAGCCACAGTTATCATCTGATTTTGACAGACTAAAGAGGGCTTAATTAATATACCTAATGAGTCATAAAACTAGGGAGAGAACTTCTAACATTTAAGAAACAAACAAGAAAACTTACTCTATTTGGTCCAACTAGTCCAACGGGAATAAAACCAACAACAGCTATAAATTGTCTTTCCACATTACCTGATGGACTGGTCTGGAAGTTGACAGTATGAATTCTTCAAGTCTCAATGCAAACATACAAAAAATGTGCTTACAGTTCTGTATTTACTGAATATTGCTACCTCACACTTTATTGAAAGGATTGTAACACCTCTATAGCAAACAACATAGCCCGTTTTGTTTTTTATGAAAAATGTTCCCAAACGTTGGGTCTGTCACATCCATATTGTCATTAGTAGTAATCACAAAATGTTTATTACTATGTTGGTCTTAGGTCCCTAGGTGATGTAAATGGTTTGCACTCGACTGCTAACATAAAGGTTGGTGGTTTGACCACCCAGTGGTATCACAGAAGAAAAGGACTGGTGATCTGCTTCTCTTAAGACTCCAAGAAAACTCCAACATATGTTCCTTTTCTAAACTTAGTTAATTGCCTGAAATTACATTGTAGCATGAAATTACCCTGAGTCATACTTCCATCCCAATAATGTTGCTATAGTTGTTTATATAAGGCATCTTACTGAAGTAAATCCTTCAAATAGTAAGAATTACCTTTTGAAGATGAAAGCTTAAAGCTACGTAGCTTAGGAAAAGAACTTGAATAAAAGATAAAAGGAAGAAGATCACAGCTCAAGTTTGTATACTCTGTAACATTAAATATTGGAGGTGTTGACACAAGCTTCTTAGAATTCCTGATTTGAGGTAAGCTTAGATAGTGTCTTTCATATCTTCAGCTAATCTGTTAGCATTTTTTTCTTTAATTCCAAAGGAAAAAGGATACTTGGCATCAGGCTGGCCCTTCTTTCCATAAGCCCATTCTGGTTCAATCTCTAGTCGAGCCTTTTCTCCCTTACTCATAGTCAAGAGTGCTTCATCCCACTGAAGGCAAGAACATAAAATAAAACATTTTTTTCAAATACATGCAATATTAGAAGACAGTCAAGATTAGAAAGAAAGAAAGCATTATATTACTGGATTTCATTATAGCCTAAGGTATTTTATTGAGTCTCTAAATCTTTGGCCTAAATTTCCTCAATGGAAACAATAAGGATTTATTGAGGAATTTTAGTGTAACAAACAAACTCTTGAAATGATATGTCAAAGCACTTTCATAAAATGTAACATTAAATATTACAGAAACCAGTTTCTCATTAGCACTCGACTACATTGTTATTAAGAACTAGCAAGTAAAACTGATGTAAGATTATCCAACTCCTCATAATAGTGGGATATGATTTGTACATGAGAAGAAATGATAGAGGCTTTTAAGTTTCCTCTCCTTTTTCCCCAAAATTTGGATCTTAAAGCCAGTTACCAAAAACAGTAAAATCAATGTGATGCAAGAATACGGAATGCATTCTTAATATATACCCTGTTGAAATACAGCAATAATATAAAGCTCAGGGTATAATTAGAAAATTGTGCTGAGATAGACCTATCGCATACTGGACATTTAGAATACGGTGGGTGAAGTGGAAGGCAAAAAAAAAAGGTGGACTAGAAGCCATTTATCAATGTACAAATCAGTTACAGAAACTGAAAAATAAGTACTTGATGTACAGTTACTATCAGCTTTGTATAAGCAGGTAGCAGTTAAGGTTATACTCAACCAAATCTTTAGTTTCAAGATACTTTATATTTCTATATTGGCATCTGGATATGATTTATCCCTATTTTAGAACTTACAGTACAAAGAATAACATGTTGAGGGTTCTTACAGCTCCAATTAAGTATTTTCATTTATCAATGACTGATGTTCCGAGTAATTATAAGTTAAAACAAACAATGAACTGCAGCATGAAAATCATGAAACTGACAATCAGGCTTGCTCTTTTATCTCTGTATGGACTCTAATATACAGCATAGCTGATGCTTAACTTCCCTTTTTGTTTCCTTTGTTGTCTCACACATAAAGGTGGGGAAAAGTATGCTTATATTTGAAAGCTTTTTAGTGTTTGAGCTATTAGGTTGTGGGAGGTGAGAAGATAGAACAAATTTCTGCCTCTGAGTATTTTGGTAGAATGAGTATTTTAACTTTCCCTATCTATAAGCTGTTCAATGGTTAACATTTTCTAAGAATCTTAAAGACTAATTTAGTAAGGCAAATATTCTGACAAAATTATTTTATGAAGAAAAAGTACTTAAAGGGGAAAGCATGGAAGGAACTAGTATTTAAGTCCCTACTTAATCCCTTGCTGTCAAGTCGATTCTGACTCAGTGACCCTATAAGGTACAAAAGAACTGCCCCAGAGTTTCCAACGCTGTAATTCTTTAAGGAAGCAGACTGCTACGTTTCTCCTGCTGTGCAGCTGGTGGGTTTGAACTGCTGACCTTTCTGTTATCAGCCAAGTACTTGACCTATACCACCAGAGCTCTTTTAAATTATGTTCATTTCATCTTTCAACAAACTCTGAGGTGGGCAGTACTGTCCTTGTTTTATATATGGGGAACTGAGGCCCAGAGAAATGAAGTTGTGCCATATCATAGACCTAGTAAACAACAGAACTTGATTTGTCAGAATCAAAAGATTGCTGTTTTCATTATATCCCCAATCCTAATTATTCCCAGCACCATACCACATTACATGTGCTCCTGTCATTTCTTTACTTACTCCTCTGATAACTTTGCCAACTCCAACCTTAAAACTTAAAGGCTTGGCGTTTTTCTTCTTCTTTGAACCTGGAAAAGATTTTCCTGACAATTAATGATAGACTTTAATTTTCATGAAGACATTTAAGTTCCAGTGGGAAAAATACAAAGATTTAGGTATTTAAGTTTACTCCAGATTTTACAATACTATGTATGTGTTGTATGAAAAGAAATAAAAATTCTGAAAGTTGAATAATATATCAATAAAATTATACATAAAAAAATAATATTGGTAGAAGGGGAAAAAAGAACTGTATTTATACCAGTACGACAGCACACTATTCTGCCTGTATATGAAAATACTAAAGCATCCTTTAGGGAAGCCTAGACTAAGCTTCTCTATTTTTCACTTTCCAAATACCTAGAGGTCTTTAGTTATTACTCAGTTACAATGGACTGAAGACCTCTTCGAATAAATGATAGGGGTAGAAGACTTCTGGAAAAAAGCAGGTGACAGCCAAGAAAAAGGTACTGCCAGTCACATCTCTACCATGGAGATATTTTGCACTGTCTTTAAGTTGAGGAAATTACATTCAGACTTACTTGTTTGAATATTAGTATCAAAAACAGTCCCATCCTGTAATGTTCCTGTATACCAACAGTGAACAACATCTCCCTTTTTGGGAAAGTTGGTTTTATCTCCCTTTTTAAGAACAGATTTTATATATTTTGGTGGACCCTAGAAACAAACCAAAACAGCACAGAGTTAATACATCATGTATTTCTTTTAGAGTGATGACACAGAGAATATCTATAATGCCAACTGTGACCTAAATCAGGTCACAGATCTGATAGGTTTCGTAATAATCTTTTGTCTCTACTTCATATCTCTGAGTTAAATTTACTGTCTTAAGTCAGTGATGAGAATATTTGTAACTTGTACATCTCCTAATTTCTAGCTTTACTGGAGATGAAATTTCTTTTAACATTCTGTTACTTAATTCAGTCTTTCCTCAATGTTAGAAATATTACTTAATTCCTGGGAAATCACAGGTGTTACATAAAGCATTGTGACCTTTTTTTCAAAGATTTTAGTTGTTCCAACACCAAAAATTGGTATTACTAGATACTTTTATTTCCAATTAGAATGCATATAATTATAGTATTGCCTGTCTCTCTGAACCTAGTAATAAGTTCACACAATGTATGAAATTATCTACAGAAGTTGCTGTAAGATGCTTATTTCCTAGAAAGGAGTATCACGATTTTTTTTAAAGGTAAAGGGTAATCCATGGTAATGTATCCATGTAAGCAAAGTATGCTAACATAGAAAAGATGATCTGTCAGTAATGTTGGGAGCTAAAGGGGGGAAAAAAAGAAAATGGAATAAATGTAAAAGTAATTGTCCTTACTTACCTAAATCTAGTTCCTTAGTGCAAACAAGAATGGATCTGCATTAAATTTCAGAAAACAAGGTAACAAAGGTGTGGCTGGATATTAAGGAATCAAAATCTATCTGGTTCTCAGTTTGGAAAGCAAGAGTGTTTTCTTTATTCTTCCTCTATTTCTAACTGCTTGTTAAGTTAAATCATGCATATTTTTATTCACATTCACTTCTCTAGTTAGGACTTCATCTCTTTCTAAGGCTTATGAAAAAAAAAAAAGTCTCATCTCCTTAATCTATCTTTTTTATCAGTCCTCCACTCTACTGCTGGAGTAATCTTGAAAATTTGTATTTTTATGCCCAAAGGCCTATGCCATTCAGGATCTCAGTATCCATGCAGAATTCTGCCCCTTGTCAAATTCCAGACTCTTCCATGACATCATCAGTAGAGCTGGCCACTATTCTTTTGTGTTTCTAGCTCTCATCTCTTCCAAACTTCTGTTAGAACATCTGTCATTTATATTGCATTTTCTTAACTCCAAGGTCTAAAAGAAGACTTTCAGATGGGCAGTTTTACTTCTTGGTTGTCAAAACCTAGCAAGGGGAACAGGAGGGGAGGGGGAGGCAGGTAAAGGTCCTACAATGCACAGCATACTGTTTCCCCTCGAGTTGATCCCAACTCTTAGCAACCCGATATGACAGAGTAGAAGTGCCCCACAGGGATTTCCTTCCTTTTTCTAAATTGTAATTTGGGTGAAACTTTACAAAATAAATTGGTTTTCCATTCCAAAAGTTTTATGACATTCATTGCAACCACCACAATGTAGAAACACTTCCCACTCCTACCCTGTGTTTACCATTTTCCTTCATCCTCTTTTCTTATTTCCTGCTTTCTTAGCTTTATCTCACCCTTTTGATCGCCTATGGTTGATTGTTCTAACAAGTGCATGTTGTTGTTGTATGCCATCAAGTCAGACCCTACTCAAAGCGACCCCTCCTTGGGTTTCTGAGGCGGTATCACTACAGAAGTAGATTGCCTTCCTTCTGAGGAGTGGCTGGTGGGTTTGAACTGGCAGCCTTCTTCTTAGCAGTCAAGTGCCTTAGGCACGATGCCACCAGAACTCCCATTAAGTGGTTAAGTGAATGAGTTAATTGACTCCTTACACAAATTTTCTTACATGGAAGAATATTCCTCAACCCACATGAATACTTATGAAAAGCAGTAAATTGGTATTCTGAGTTCTATACCAATCTCCTGTGATTTTAAATAAATGTTAATTCTGGGTATATGAACAAAATATGCACTGGGGTAAACTCAACAAGGTCATCTTATCCTGTGTGATCTTGGCAGAAAGTCATCTTCTCTTTAGGATAGACTATAAATTATAACACTCATATCATTTCACTTAATATTCTTTCAAAGGATTACGAGATTATGCACTGATGGTTCTGATTGAAGTTCTCTTGGCTATGTATATAGAACATTCAAAATTGATTTGAAACAGTTATACACTGTAAAGTCACTTATTAAAAATCTTTAAGAGGGTTAAAACTAAACACTAATTCTCAGTATTCAACTCATTTATGTGAAATATGTTTTCTTTATGGAAAATTCCCTGTTCAGGCTGTAGTCCTAAAAATATCCTCCAGTTTATTCTTGTTTATAGTCCTAGAGAAACGTAAGTCCAGAGCAAATTCCTTAATCTGAGAGATACTGTTCCAAACTGAATAGCACCTCGCTCAAAACTTATATAAAGAAATTTTATTAATTAATCATGTCTGCTTGATTTTTAAACATCTATTATTTCCCAGTCATTAATACATGTCATGGCACTTGACCAAAATACTCTGACGGAAGCATCACCTATTTGCGTTGTGCAGACAGACTTTTTTCATATGTTGTTGGAGTCTACTGGCTAGCATTTTGTTGAAGATTTTTGCATCTATATTCTTGAGGGATGTTGGTCTTTGTTTTCCATTTTAGTGATGTCTTTGCCTGGTTTTGGTATCAAAGTTATGCTTGCTTCACAAAATGAATTTGGGAGGAATTCCATCCTTTTGTTTTCTGGAATAGTTTGAGTAGGACTGGTGTCAGTTCTTCTCTGAATGTCTGGCAGAATTCTCCAGTGAAACCATCTGGGCCAGGGCATTTTATTGTTGGTAATTTTTTTTAATTACCTATTCAATTTCTTCTTTTGTTAAAGGTCTGTTCAGATTTTCCACCTCAGTCTGTGTTAGTTTAGGTAAGTAGTATGTTTCTAGAAATCTGTCCATTTGTTCTAGATTTTCAAATTTGTAATCTTTACAAAAAACCAACTTCTAGTCTTGTTGATTTTTTTCTATTGTCTTATTTTGTTTCATTTATTTCTGCTTGAATCTTTTGTTTCTTTTCCTCTGGTGACTTTCCCCCCCACCCTTGCTCTCTTTCTCTAATTTTTGGAAATGTTTGGGTAAAGGTATTGGTTTTGGCTCTTTTTTGATGTGTGCATTTACTGCTATAAATTGACCTCTGATTTACTGCTCTTGCTGTGTCCCAAAGATTTTGTTGTGTTTTCATTCTTGTTTGATTCAAGGTATTTTTAAATTTCATGTATTACCCAGTCATTCTTAAGGAGGATGTTCAGTTTGCATGGGTTTGCTCTTTTTCCATTCATCTTCCTGTTGTTCACTTCTAATTTTAAAGCATTGTGATCTGAGAAGATGCTTTGCAGTATTGCAATGTTTTTAAATTTATTTAGGCTTGCTTTGTGGCCCAACATATGGTCTATCCTGGAGAATGTTCCATGTGCACTAGAAAGTAAGGTATATTGTGCGATTGCTGGGTGAAATGCTCTGTAGCTGTCTATAAGGTCAAGTTGGTGGATTGTATTGTTTAGTTCTTCTGCATCTTTGTTGAGGTGCTTTCCTGTTGTTCTATCATTGATTGAAAGTGATCTTTTAAAGTTTCCTACTATGACTGTGGAATCATCTATCGGTCATATTAATCTGTAAAAGTCTGATTTATGTATTCTGGGGCTCTTTCATTGGGTGCATAGATATTTTTTATGTTATGTCCTCTTGTTCAATCAGTCCTTTAATCATTATATAATGTTCTTTGTCTCTTAGGGTGATTTTTGTCTTAAAGTCAATTTTATGAGAAATTAATATTGCCATTCCTGTTCTTTTACAGTTGTCATTTGCTTGATAAATCTTTTTTTAACCTTTGATTTTTAGTCCATTTTTGTCTTTCTCTCTAATGGTGTCTCTTGTAGACAGCATATGGATGGGTTATGTTTTCTTATCCTGTCTCTTGAGTGGTCCATTTAATTCACTGACATTCATTGTAATTATTGACAAATATGAATTTGTTGCTGTAATTTTGTTATGTCCTTTTTCATGGTGTTGCTTTCTTTGTTCCATGTAATTTTCTTTGATGAGCTTGTTTTGTTTATGAAGTGTGTTACCACTTCCTTCGTCGTCATTTTAGTATTTGCTAAATATTTGTGGTTGTCCTCTTTTTTTATTGTTAAGGCTAATCATTTTTCTTTGAGGTTACCGTGTGATTTATAATTTTCTTCCCAAGTTTAGAACAGTACATTCTATCTTGAAGTTGTCTTGACTTCCCTACCATTTAGAAGTTCTTCTGATTTGTAGTTGAGGACATTTGCCAATTGGTGTTTCTGGTTCCCTCTTTACAATTTTGTTGGGTTATTTACTTTGGATACTTCCATAACTGGGTTGGTTTCTGGGTTATGTTATCTCGTGTGTTAATGGTCAGTTGTTGTTTGCTGTTGTTGCTTCTCTGTCCAAATTCTCCCTTTAACATCTCCTGTGAGGTTAGTCTGATTTTAACAAATTCCCTCAATTTCTGTTCATCTGGAAATGTCCTATTTTCACCATCATATCTGAGAAACAAGTTTTGCTGCATATATAATTCTTGGTTGGAAATTTTTCTCTTTCAGGGTTTTATATATACCATCCCACTGACTTCTCGACTGAATGGTTTCTGCTGAGAAATCACAGCTTCATCATACTGGTTGCCTTTTGTAGGTAACCTTTTGTTTTTGCCATCCCGCTTTTAGGATTCTGTTTTTGGTTTGGTGAGTTCGATGATATGTCTTGGTGATTTTCTTTTGTGGTCTATCCTGTTTGGGGTTCGTTGGACTTCTTGAATGGATATATTCTTGTATTTATTCGTATCAAGGAAATTCTCTTCCAACAAATCTATGACAGTTTTCTCTGTTATTTTATTTCCCTTCCTATTCTGGAATTCTGATTACACATAAGTTATTCCTTTTGATGGTATCCCACACAAACCTTAGGCTTTCTTCATTTTGTTTTGATCTTCTGACTAATCCCTTTCCAAAGAAGTACTGAGGTATTTGTCTTCAACCTCACTAATTCTTTCTTCTTCTCCTTTGCCCTTTCAATGTGTTATCTATTTCTGAAAACTTAGTATTAATCTTATGTATTTTTCTGTGTATTTTGCATCATTTCTTATTTTTCATTTAGTTTGTCATTTTGTTCTTGTATTGTCCTCTGAAATTGTTCTAGGGTCTTCCTCAATTTTGTCAGTGTTTTCCTTGATCTTTCTCTCAATCCGCTGTAGGTACCTAAATCTAATTCTTTTGAATTTCTCATCAGGGGGTTCCAATGCTGCTGCTTCCTCAGGGATGTGTTCTTGTTTTGTATCCTGATCCTTTGTTTTTACTGTTTTATTCTGCTTCTTTGTGTGGACTGTGATGGTCTGTTGTCTCCAAGATATTGTGACGTTTTTGTGTTTATATTTAATTTGTGATTGTATGTTGGAGTGATTCACCAAAGAATTTAATTTTGTGTTGTTTTGATGTTATCTAATAAGCAGGGTACTATACGCCCCTATTCACTAGTTTGCAGCACTTATGCACTCACCATCTATCTCCTTTTCCAGTCATCAGTCTCCCATATGTCCATGGTGTCCTTAGCAAGTGGAGCCTATTCTTAGGTTCCTGAAATGTGAATGCTGTCACTTTAAATGTTCAAAATGGCTGCTGCTTGTAAACATTCAAAATGGCTATACCCTCTGGACAGCTGAAAGTCCACAGCTTGGTTTGTCTCCTCCTTTCCTGTTTCCTTTTTTAAGTCATCAGCCACTGGTGCAGTTGTCCACACAGCCCTTGGCAAGTAGGGCCACTATTTAGGTTAATTCTCAGGTCCTAACACCACTTGGAAATATTCAGGCTGCCTGTGCCATCAGGATGGCTGAAAGTCTGCAGCTCCATTTGTCTCCTTACTCACTGTTTTCATTCAGATTCATCTATGGGTTGGTGTTTAAACCACTTCTGTATCTTTCCTTTCAAAGCTCAGGCACCAGGATTATTTTCTGTATCTGTATCAATTGGTTTTTCTCCTCTTTGTTAAAGCGGGTTTGTGTAGCTTGCCTGCCCATTCCGCAATCTTACCAGAAGTCTCCCTTATCCCTTTTCCATTGCTCTCTATTGGTGAAAAATATTTGAGTTTTCCTTTTTACACGCTTTTCCCTTAGACAGGTTCTGGCTTTCCCAGGTTGTACTGTACTATAAAAGTAGTTAAGTGTTAACTTCTTCCATGATACCCCTGTTTAATATGCTTAGTATAGACCCTGTCACATAGTGAAAGCTCAATAAACAGTAACTATTATGATTAATAAGGGGCTGTGGTAGCACAGTGCCTAAGGCATTTGACTGTTAACCAGAAGGTTGACAATTTAATCCTACCAGGCCCGGAAACCCAGTAGGGTTTGCTATGAATTGGAATCGACTCGATGGCAATGGGTTTGGTTTTGGTTTTATTATGATTAATACAATGTATTTCATGACTTAAAGTAACAGAATTTACTGTCAACTGTAAGGTGGTAGACAGATGATAAAATACTACTGAAATATTAAGTCATATATTTTCAAGGACCCCTGGGGGCAAACCCAAAAGTTTGGCTGTTCAAACACACCCAGAGGTCTGAGGGTGAAAAGATCATGCAATTAACTGTGTTTCATCACACTACACATCAGTGGAGGCAGTGGTGATTAGTGGTAGAATTCTTGCTTTCCATGTGGAAGAGCCATGTTCAATTCTCAGCAAGGCCAATGTACCTCATTTGTGGCCACCACCCATGTATAAGTGGAGGCTTGTGTGTTGCTATGATCTGAACAAGTTTCAACAGAGCTTCCAGACTAACAGAGTAGGAAGAAAGGCCCATCAATCTTGAAAAAATCAGCCAATGAAAACATTATGGACTACAATAGTCCAATTCCCAACTAATAATGGGGATGGTACAGGATCAGGTAGTGTTTTATTCTGGTGTACATCGGGTCACCATGAGTTGGGCTGACCTGATGGCAGCTAAGAACAGTAATTCTATACTTGGATTTATGCTTTGTACACAAATACCATAATGCTGTATCTTCATCAATAGGCTGTACTTCTTTACAAAAAATTAAAGATAGATTATCATCACCGAGACTAAGAAGACCACTAGAAATGAGTAAACTTGGTTGGCAAGATATGTAAGTGGCAGAATTATAGTCAAGTCAGCTTTATTAAAGCTGTCACCACTGCAGAAATGGTTGTAACTTGTTCTTAAAACAGTTGTATCAAAATAGGAAACCTAGGTTGCAGCCAAGCCTGGACTATTTCTTTTGCCAGGGATGCCATGTACATGAGAAAAACCTAAAAATAATCAAAAAGGAAGTTTCCTTTATTCAATCCAAGAGAGAATCAAGACCTTAGAATAGCTTTGAAAGCTTAGAAGAGTCTGGCCCAGACTGATGGCAATACTGAGTTAGAGCTATTTCAGAGGACAGGCTACTAACTACAAAGTGTTTTTTTTCCCCCTCCAGTGTATGTAAGGGAGATGAAAACCCCAAATCAGTGGCTGGCTCACTGTGACAGTGGCTCTATGCAACCAACCCTTCATTATATAGAACAAATACTTTTATAAAAGTCAGATGAGAAATAAAGTAAGAAAATATTATATACAAACCTCTTCCAGAGTCTCTTCAGACTTGGTTTCTTTGGGTTTGTCATCATTAACCTTCACATTTTTCACCTGCTCTGACACCTTACTTATACTTTCGGTACCTTTGAAACGCTGTAAGGAAAATGTTCTCACACTTATCATGTTCAGGACAGGCAGAAGATTAGGAGGGACATTTAGAATTCCAGCTTCTTAATTAAATGAGTATCTGCTCCATGAATATAGGGAACAAAACTCAAAAGTAATTAAGTAGTCTAAAGGAACTTCCTAAAAACAAAGGAAGAATTTAATGTCAATTTTTAATCACTAAATTATGGCTATCAAATCATCTATCTCACAATATAAATTCTGAAATGAGAACCATGAACTTTAGAAAGGCCATTTTAGCTAGAAACACTACTGTAAATGATTACATGTCTATTTGTACTTCTGTAAACTGGTTCAATCTCTTTGGAATACAAGTTTAAGGCATTAAAAGTTTAAAAAATAATTCTAGTTATAGAAATACATGCTCAAGAAGTAATTTGAAACTAAGAGGGGGAAAAAATCCTTATGTAGTTACTCAACACACTGTTATCCAAAATAACTACACATTTATGGTATGGAATACTCAGTTTTGAGTGATGTGGAAAATTCTTACAATGTTAAGTGAAAATCAATAGAAAGTTCTAACTACAGTAAAATCTCAACCATTTAAACAAATATATATGCATTGAAAATATCCAGGGGAAACATTCTGAAATATTAAATATGTTTGTCTCTAGACAGTAGAATTATATTATGTATTCTCCTTTTCTGTTTTTAAAATAGCACATATTATCTTTATAATCAGAAAAATAAATGGTTTCTAAAAAATATAATTGACTGTATCTGGTAATATATATCCCAATTAGAAAATTTTCTGTGGAAGATGATCATTTCATATTGAGTAGATATTGGGGAATTTCTTAAATTTTGTTTTTAAAGCTCAGCCTTTATCTAAACCAGACTTTAAATCCATGAATGAGATGGAGCTTGTTTTTCAATTCTCAGTGTAAATGCTAAAGTAGTATGATAATGCCAACTGACCTAATGGATTTATAACTTTTTATTACCCTTAATTTATCATGTCAACTTAAGCTGCTATGGAATTATTTAAAAAAATATGGCCCCTTTCAAAATAACAAAACACTCTAACATACTACAGATTAACCTGACTCGATTTGATAGCTAGTCCACATGATTATAGTTTTTTTTTTTTTTTTTAACTCTCACTCATATTGTTAAAACATGCATTTAAAAATTCTTTTTGGGAATAAAAGCTGTAACATGAAATTCTAGCAACAGAATTTAACTTTACTCACCTTAGTTTCAAAGAGACGGTTATAAGCTGTAACCAAATGGTCCTTGTTGGCTGTCTTGGCCACATTTTTAATGTTTCCTAATAGCTTATGTTCTGCAAGAAACTATAAAGAAAGCTGGTTTTGCAAAATAATTTCAAGTAACAAGGGTCTAAAACTAGGAAATGGCTTTTTTATGTTAAAAAAACCAAACCAAACTCACTGCCGTTAAGTTGGATCCGACTCATAGCATCCCCTTTTTTATGGTAGGAATTATATTCTGCATAGTATTAGCATTCAGACAGAACAAGGGGATACTGCATGGTTTAAAATCAGGCAACTTATGCATCAGGGTTTTATCCTTTCATCATACTTACTCAATCTGTACACTCAGCAAATAATCCAGGAAGCTGGATTATATATGAAGAATGTGGCATCAGGATGGAGAAAGACTCATTAACACCCTGCGATGTACAGATGACACAACCTTGCTTGCTGAAAGCCAAGAGGATTTTCAGCACTTAGGAATGAAGAGCAAAGAATATAGCTTTCAGTATGGATAGCATCTTAGTTTTCAAGGAGTATCTTTGTTCTTCAGCATTTTAAGCAGGTCTTTTGGAGCAGATTTGCCCAATGCAATACGTCATCTGATATCTTGGCTGCTGCTTCCATTCGTGTTGATTGTGGAACCAAGTAATATGAAGTCTCTGACAACTTCAATCATTTCTCTATTTATCGTGATGTGGCTTATTGGTCCAGTTGTGAGGATTTTCATTTTCTGTATACTGAGTGTTAGGCCGAAGCAAACCCAAGCCACCAACATTTCAGTTAGCAGCTTCCTCCGGGTGTCAAGCCCTGATGAGACAGCCTGATAAGACAACCGAAGTAACAGAACCCGCCCAGACTGGAAAGTCCCATGCAGTGGCAAGCTTCCTCTTGTGAAGCCCCCTCATGCTAATTAAGTGCAGACCCATGCTAATAGCTAATTGGACCCCACTATTTCCTAGTGTCCCCACTTAGGTCCTCGACAAGACTATAAACCCTCCCCTCCCCAGCCAAGCAGTGTGACTTCTCGGGCCCCTCTTGGGGGCCCGTAAACCTCACCCAGAAACTCAGAATAAAAACTTCTCTTTAACCTCACTTTTGTGCATCCTCTTCTCCTTACTGTGGCCTTACACTGAGATGTAATCCATACTGCAGACTTTAGTTGGAATCAACTTGATGGTAAGCCCCACTGGGTTTCTATGGCTGTAAATCTTTATGGAAGCAGATTTCTTATCTTTCTCCCTCACAGAAGCTGGTGTCTTCCAACGTGATCTTTTCATTAGCAGCTGAATGCCTTAACTACTACACCACCAAACTGAAGATGACTTGAAGCACTTACTGATGAAGATTAATAACTACAATCTGCACTATGGATTATACCTCAACATAATACAAAAATCCTAACAACTAGACCAATAAGCAACATCATGATAAATGGAGAAAAGATTGAAGTTGTCAAAGATTTCATATTATTTGGATCCATGATCAACACCCATGGAAGCAGCAGTTAAAAAATCAGATGTGCTACTATACTGCACTGGGCAAATCTGCTGCAAAACGCTTTTCTGTAAAGTGTTGAAGAGTAAAGATGTCACCTTGAAGATTAAGGTGAGTCTCAATCACCTCATATGCATGTGAAAGCTGGACAATGAATAAGGAACACAGAACAAGAGTTGACTCTTGATTCTTTTGAGTTGTGGTACTGGCAAAGATTACTGAAAGTACCATGCACTGCCAAAAGAATGAATGACTCTTTCCTGGAAGAACTGCAGCCGGAATGCTCCTTGGAAGTGAGAATGGCCAGGCTTCATTTCACCTACTTTGGTCACATTGTTAGAAGGATATTCCCCCATTCCCTGGAGAAGGATATCATGCTTGGTAAAGTGGAACGTCAGCAAAAAAGGGAAAGACCCTCAATGAGATAGATTGACAGAGTGGCTTAAACAGTTGTGGGCTGAAATACAGCAAGGACTGTTAGGATGGCACATGACTGGGCAATGTTTTGTTCTGTTGTACACAGGGTCATTATGAGTTGGAGCTGATGTGACAGCAGCAGACAACAACAACACATCTACTGAATGGGAAAAAAGAAAACAAAACAAAAAAAACACTACAATTTATACCCTACTTTATTACAAATAAAAAGATTTAAGGAAGCATGAAGGAAACACTGGGTATTTAGAAGGATAACATTGGGTATTTAGAAGGATTATTCACAAGACTGGTAGTATAGAATTATGTAGGTGTTAAAACTGCGTATCCTAACTTTCCTCATCACAGAATTTTCAGAAAAGAACATCTGTATAGCAACCATATTGTGGTCACTGGAAGTTGTTCATGCCAAGAAGCTACCTGGCCCTGGGAGCCTCCAGCCATATGGGATATAGCTTTCTCTACCTAACTGTAATTCATTCTTGGCAGATTTGAAAACAGTTACATAATATTATAGTATAGTGGTTAAACGGGAGCTCTGGTAGCATAGTGCTTAGGGCACTTGACTGCTAACCAGAAGGCTGTCGGTTCAAACCCACCAGCCACTCCTGGGAAGGAAGGTTGGACAATCTACTTCCATAGTGATGCTGCCTTGGAAACCCAAGGAGGGGTCACTATGAGTCAGGTCCTACTCGACGGCACATAACTGGTTAAACGTATGGGTTATGAAGTTACCTGTGTGACCCTAAACAAGTGACTTGGCTTTCCTAAGTCCAACTTCCCAAATATGTAATGCAAGTTTAGTATACATCAGAGGGTTGTTAAGAGGATAAAATGCTAAACCCATTTATTATGTTTTAGCATATAGCCTGCCACAATAAGAGTTCAGTAAACATTAGCTATTATGAGTATTTGTCTATTTAAAACCTCAAAGTAACAGAATTTCATCTCAAATATAAGTGGGCACATGGTTGCCAACTACTGTAATATCAAGTCACATTGTATTTTCAAGGAGTCCTAGTGGCACAACGGTTAAGTGTTTGGCAGCTAACTGAAAGGCCATCCGTTCAAACTCACCCAGAGGCTCTGTGGGGAAAAAAGACCTGGCGATCTGTTCCCATAAGATTGTTGTTATGTGCTGTCGAGTTGGACCCAACTCATAGCGACCCCTCCTTGGGTTTCCAAGGCAGTATCACTACGGAAGTAGACTGCCCCATCTTCTTTCCAAGGAGTGGCTGGTGGGTTTGAACCACCAGCCTTCTGGTTAGCAGTCAAGTGCCTTAGGCACTATGCTACCAGAGCTCCCCCCCCCCCCGTAAGATTACAGCCTAGAAAACCATATTGGCAGTGCTAATGTCGCATGGTTTGCTATGAGTCAAAATCAACTCAGTAGCATCTAACAAAAACAACATTTTCACAACATCATGTAACCTGTGGATTTTTTAAATAACTTGTTTCTCTTTAACTTTATTCTACTTCCTTTTCTGCCTTGTCCTTGACTCCTCAAGTTTTGTTACTTTCCCAAAGCTGTCCTTTGGTATCTTCTAAGCTTTTGATAAAGCATTTTTTCTAACACTATCACTTCAAACCCACCGGCTACTCCTCGGAAGGAAGATAGGGCAATCTACTTTCATAGTGATACTGCCTCGGAAACCCAAGGAAGGGTCGCTATGCGTCGGGTCCGACTTGATGGCATATAACAACAATCACTTCTTTTTCTCAAGATCATTCATAGAGAAGTGTTGTAAATAATTAGGGCTGATTGGGGAAAGAAATAAAGTTGATTAAATAGAATTAGCTGCTTCAGATGCTTGTAATTTCTTTAGCAGGATTCTAGAAAATATCCCAAATATGAGCACTTCTTTGACCAGTAAAGTGCCTTGTGACCAATAATCAAATGTAGGTTTAAGTATGTGAGTGATCATTGGAGAGTATGCATTTAAAAATTATAATGTTATACCAATATTTTGAAAATGCAAGTCTCTTGAAATTGACCTAGGTGGGCCAGTTTAAAGAGTCCACATTGGGACTACTTATTTTATAAGAATTTGATGTCAAGAGACAAATGATACACCTACTCTACTCTGCTATACCATCTGAAATATGAATTAAGATAATGTAATTCCATTGAATTGTTTAAGATTCCTGAGGCATGGCCTTTCTTTTACATTCCTGTATCTCCAAACACTGACACCGTTATTGACATACTAGATGCTGTATGAAAATTTGTTGAATTAACTTAAAATGCTGATGCCAGGAAAATCACTCAGGAATTGAAAATCAGACAGTGTGTTTATCTCTTTCATGACCCATTCACTACAGTGGAAGTAAAATACAACAACCTCTCCTGCAAACAAGAACCCAGCAAAAGGCTTTCTTAATGCAGGCGTAGGAAGCCTCAATTGAAATTTAGAGAAACCACATGTTGGCCGATGGTTCTATTTCGTTTTAGTAGTGGATGCCACTGATGAGTACCTGGTACAATAGAGTGTGCGGCAGCTCAGCAATTCAAGAGAGGTACGAATTTTCGAAGGAAAAAAGGGTCATGTCCGAAAAAAAATAACCTGACTACGGAACGGTAGTTAAGATGGAGACTGCTGAAAAATGCTGGGCGTTACAGTACAAAGAATGGCAAACCTTTTTCTTTCGGTGCGTGCGTGCTTATAACAATGAGAGACCACTACACAAGAATGTGCATTAAGGTGAAAAGATTAAGGGATCCATATATATACATTTTTTTTTTAAACTGCAACATACACGTTTTAAAAGACAACAGTCACTATTTAATAAATTTAGAAAAGCACATCGCATACATCATTCTCATAGAAATCTTCATATTCCTTCCGATCTTCCTAAGTGCCCACATTCCACTCCCAGGGGGTTCATCCCTGTCCTTGGGCCCTCACCCCCAACCTTATTTCCCCCGTTACGTTTTTCATCGCCTCTGCCCCCTCAAGGATCTCAGTGAGGTTCTGACTCCCCGACAACAGCTACTGTGCCCTAGGAGACAATACTATGCCCCTGGGTTAAGCGAGGCCTGCCCAAGGGGCAAAAGCGTTTCTCACAAGAGCACACGAGGGCACTCGGGCCTTCTCGATGATGGGCGGGGGCACCAAGGAAGACAGAATGTAAGGCCATCTGTGTGGGGGGGTAAAGCATCCCTTAGCCACACCAACCCTGCCGCCCCGCCGCCTCTGGTACCGAATCTGAACCGTGATCCTGAAGAAACTTGATAATGTCCTTCTTGGGCAGCTGCTCGCTGCGCAGTTGCTCCACGGTCCACGCCCGCTGTGGAACGCTAGCCGCCATCTTCCCCCGCTGCCTCTGCTCTACTGAGCTAGCCCGGTAGGCTCTGCAACGCACCGCCCTGGGGCGGGGCGGGAACTCCGCACAGAGACTTAGGGGGCGGGCTTACTTCACTACCCTACAGGATTGGCCTTATCTTTGAGTGACGTCAAAACTGTGCTATGGGGGCTTCTTCGTTGGTCTTGCTAAAACCAGCAGAGAGAGCCGTAGCCGCTGAATACACCGAAGACGAGTCGTTATCTGCTTCTAATTAGATCCGTTGAGTGCGACCTCTTGTGGTGGTGGCTTGTTGTTATTGTTATGTGCTGTGGGGTTAGCCGCCTTTATTTATTACCCATGCTTGTTTATTAGCCTCAGGCTACAATGCCTGCTAACCTGACGGCTGGCGGTTCAAACCCACCAGCCACTCCTCGGAAGGAAGGTTGGGCAATCCTATTTCCGTATGATACTGCCTCGGAAACCCAAGGAGGGGTCGCTATGAGTCGGGTTTGACTCCACGGCACATAACAACAACAACAACAACAACAACAACAACAATGCTTTTAGGGAGCTCTGGTAGCATTGTGCCTAAGGCATTTGACTGCCAACAAGAAGGCTGGCGGTTCAAACCCACCAGACACTCCTCGGAAGGAAGATTGGGCGATCTACTTCTGCAGTAATTCTGCTTCAGAAACCCAGGGAGGACTCGCTGTGACTCGGATCTGACTCAACCGCAGTGACGTTAGACAATGCCTTTAAAGGTCCAGTCTATAACCTGTTTTAAGAAAATAACAGCATTCATATTCCAAATCTCATTTAGTTCTAACCTAAAAATTTACACCTGAATTGGCACAGTCCTTGTCCATCAGATATTAGGACCATCTCCTCTTCAAGGCTCTCACAAAACTAAAACACAATGAGCTCCTCTGATTCCCCAAAAGCATAAGAGAAATAGTTTATAAATAAAAGTTCAGAAACATGAACAAATTAAACAATTTAAATTAAAAAAATAAGGAGACTGCTTCTGCTTTGACAGTGGAGGATACTACTTGATGTTGATGGTGATGAGGATGCTAATATGCTCAGAACAACCCCAAGAAGTGTGTGTAAACCAACACCAAAACCAAACTCATTGTCAGTGAGTGGATTCTGGCTCGTAACAACCTCCATTGGGTTTCCAAGGCTGTAAATCTTGACTTAAGTACATTGCCTTGTAATATTGTGGACAGATTAGAATTTCTGGGAGAGGAATATGTGTTCTGAGTTCCATATTAATCTTGTTCAATTTAAACATTGCCTTACTGGTAGCCATAATCACATAAGAATCCTGCCCCTGCAACCACATTCCTAAGATCATAAAACCAAGACAGAACAGCTCATAGGACAGGACAATTGTATTCTTTAGCTCATGAGACTAAGGAAAAGACATAGCAAAAGAAATAATGCAAATATAGTTACTACTTACATGGCCTTTCCAAGTAACAGGCCATTCTTAGATGTCTTCCAGCTCACTATCTGTGGCCACTGTTAACTGGTTTTGGAGCCTGTGCACCCCTGCCCCTCCTTTGCCACCTGATGAACTAAGACGGCCACTCCAAGAGGAGCCCAAGACTCAAACCAAGGGCAAACAGCAGACTGCGTATAGCCTGAAGGAAGCTGAGACATTTATCACAACCTTGTTCTGCTTCCTGACCTTTGCAAAAGGGTCAGAATTTTATCAATACTTGCCTGCACAAGGTCTTTTGAAACCGAACTATGGCCTTAAAAAAACTACTATAAAACCCCCTAGACTGTAAGGCTGGGGGAGACACACATGGCATTGCTCCATCTGTCTCCACCTTGCAAAGTTACTATCCTCTTACTAAATTTCTCTCTGAACTACAGCTGACTTTCTAGTCATTATTTCAGAACCCAGTCTGCAACTGCTTCTTCTTCCTCTGGCAGAGCAGCTGGTGGATTTGAACTGCCAACTTTCTGGTTAGCAGCCTAATTCCTTATCTGCGACTTTTCCTCAGTACATGAGGAAACAAACTAAAAGTCTTCAGGTTCAGTGTGGAGAAACCAAATCTGAGGTAGGGAGTTAATGTTAATATGGTATAATACTTACATGACATTTACTGCTCTTTCTTGATAGACTATTAGGATGCTCCCCCCTCCATTATCTAACCAATAATAGGACCACACCAAATTCACTTCTCTCTTAACAATAAAAATATTAAAATAGTAGATTGTCATTCATAATGTGGTCAGAAAAAGACCTGCCCTCTCGTTTTTTCATACTGGTTAGAGAAATAAGATGAATTACTTAATTAAATACATTTTTGCTCTTCCATCAATTTTCCGATTTAAAAATATAACCACCAAGGACAAAAGTATAAGTCTTTCATTGTCTCAGGATTTCAAGATCATTTATTATCATTTTGAACGATATCACTTTAGCAAGACGCAGGGACACCTGAACTTAGACCCGGAACTCAACTTTGGAGTCTGTAAATATACTAAAAAAAGGGACCAAATTTAGAGTAACTCCTAAACAGTGCGCATGCGTCTCAGGAAGGCCACGAGGGTTTCCGTATAGCCAACCAATCATATTCTCAATGCAAAATCAGAGGCGGCATTTTCAAGTGGTTGAACTGGCTGCAGTTCCGCTTTTCGTTCCAGTTTTGCTCGGAGGATACGGATGGGGATCGAATCGGTGGCGGTTGAGCTGTTGCAGGTGCCGTTATGTGAGCAAAGCCTTTGGTAGTAGTCGGTGTAATGAGTGGACGGCAAAGAACGCTTTTCCAGACGTGGGGCTCAAGCGTCTTCCGATCTGTCGATGCCTCGAGTCGTAGATCCGGAACTGAGCGGCCTAAAAGCCCTGGCAGCTCCGGGTCGCGTTTCCCTGCGCCGGCAGAGGCTGTAGACGCTTGTCCAGAGTCGGACGATGATGTTTTTCTGGTCGCGGTATATGAGGCTGAACACCAGCTGAAGCTAGAGGATGGCGGGTTCTGCAAGTCCGCAGGCTCCCTGTGGATTTACCCAACCAACAGCCCAGTGCGGGACTACCAGCTGCACATCGCCCGGACCGCTCTGTTCTGCAACACGCTGGTCTGTCTGCCCACCGGACTGGGCAAGACATTTATTGCCGCCGTGGTCATGTACAATTTCTACCGCTGGTTCCCTTCTGGCAAGGTGGTCTTCATGGCTCCCACTAAACCCCTGGTGGCACAGCAGATCGAGGCTTGCTACCGGGTGATGGGTATCCCGCAGTCCCACATGGCCGAAATGACAGGTATTTTAAAACAACAATTCACTAATTTGGAGTTAAAAACTGGGTACCCCAGAGGAAAACACGCGTTCTGATGGAAATAAAGCCCACTGTTGTCGAGTGGATTCCGATTCATAGCGACCCTGTGTGACAGAGTAGAACTGTAGAAAATGTGGTTTCCAAGGCTGTAAGTCTTTAGGGAAGTCGACTGCCACATCTTTCTCCACCAGAGCCAGTGGTGGTTTCCAACGGAGACCTTTCGTTTGGTAGCACAGCGCTTTAGCCACCGCACCACTAGAGTGTGCCTTTCTGATGGAAATAGAATTAGAGAAGTTTCTAACCTTTTTGGAATAGTCCCTAGATCACAGTATGGCCATTTTACCGCTCCTCTGATAAAACATCATCTGCTTGTAGCAAGTCCAGTCCTAATGAATCAACCAACCCAAACCCAACTCGCTGCTGTCCAGTCGATCCCGACTCAGGCCCCTCCTTGGGTTTCGGAGGCAGTATCTATAGAAGTGGATTGCCCAGCCTTCCTTCCATGCAGTGGCTGGTTGGGTTGAACCGGCAGCCTGGTTAGCAGTTAAAATGCCTTAGACACTACGCCACCAGAGCTGCTGGTCGTAATGAATAGGGTTGCTTTATTTACCCTTGAGAGAATCTCCTAGGTTGTCAACTGGAGCATTTTGAAGCGATTATGCCTATGTTCAAACCCACCAGCCACTCCTCGGAAGGAAGATTGGGCAGTTTACTTTCGCAGAGATGCGGCTTGGGAAACCCAAGGAGGAGTCGCTATGAGCCAACTCGAGGGCGGTGAGTTTTTTTTTTTTTAAATTTGTTTTCACCTCTTGGGTAGGTGAATATGAAGTTCCTGGCTTTCTTCCCAAAAAGGATTTCCGAGTTAAAAGACTTTACTTATATTTTGTAGCTAACAATCTGGAGTTTAGAATGTGACATGTCTTTTGCTTTCAGGATCTACTCAAGCTTTCATCAGGAAGGAAATATGGCACAATAAGAGAGTCCTTTTTCTTACACCTCAGGTCATGGTAAATGACCTTTCTAGAGGAGCTTGTCCTGCTGCTAAAATAAAGTGTCTAGTTATTGATGAAGCTCATAAAGCCCTTGGAAACTATGCTTATTGTCAGGTAATAATTTTTTTAAAAAATAATATATGGTATAAACATTGTTGAAGAGTATTTGGGGGAATAATTATTAGTGATTGAAGTTACTGATAGTATTATTACTGTAAAAAGTTTTAGATCTATTGTGTCTATTCTCTTAGAATATATGGTGATAGAAAACACTTCACCAATTCAAATCAGTATCTCAGCTTTTTTTTTTTTTTTTTTTTCAAAGCTTAGTGTCACATGTGGATCCTGAGAGCCTAGGCATGGCTAGGGCAGACTTCCAGAGTGGTTCCAGGGTGTAGGTGGGATTTTGGAACTAAGATTGGTACTGGATATACAATGTCAATACGTGGCAGATGGATAAAATAATACTAACTACCAGGATTGTTGTAGGATTAAATGACATAATGTATGCAATGTACCTAACACAGTGCCTTCCATATGAGTATGGAACATAAAGTAGAAAGGTGGGATGTGACTGGAGAGAGCCAGGTCATGAAGAGATTTGTATTTTATGCTTAGCAGTTTGAATGTCCTTTGTAGGCAATAGGAAATATGTGCAGTAGAGACTGTAATTTTTTTACTTGGAATGATAATTAAGGTATAGTGTAGATTAGAGGGGAGAAAGCTAAAGGCAGGGTATAAAATGAGGCATAGGAGGAATTTAGAATGACTCAGGTTTTTGACTTGGAATGCTGTGAGGATGTTGGTACTACTAATCAGGATGGAGAGTTCTGGAAACAGCTGATTTGGGGAGAGGAGCATGGAAGGATAATGAGTGTAGTTTCAGGTATGTTGAGTTTGAGGTGTCTATGAGGCATCCAGTTGTAAATATCCAGTAGGCAGTAAATGATATGAATTTCAATGGAGAAATCTGAGCTGGAGGTACAGGTTTGGAAATCATCAGGATGCAGATGGTAGTTAAAATCATAAGCTGATAAAATTGGGGGCAGGGTATAGAGTAAGAACATAAAAGGGAAATAAAAGAGGAAAGTCAGTTTCATTTAGTATAAAGAGATGAATTTCATTGCCACCTTGTGAATTTGTAAAATAGTTTCCCTGGGGACTTGTGAGTGTTATTGTATTATATTGCTGTGTTATCTTAGGGAGATTTGTCGTCTTTTATTATACTTGATCTTCTCAAACAGAAAATGATTATATTTTTTCTATTTATGTGTATTGTCATAGAGAAAGCATTCCAAGTCTGTTTAAAGTAAAGACAAAGAAGTTTTATTAATGGCAAAATTTATTTTGCAAAACAAGGAAAACACAGAGTTAAGAAACTTTTGCAAAGTGCTCTGAGGAGCTTAGAATGACAGAAAGTGACAAAGGCAAAAACTTCAATTAAGGGAGGTACATTTGAGGTATTTTTGATTGGATACTCTTAAAAATTGCAGGTGGCAGGATTTTGGTTAAGTATTTTTTGCAAGAGTTGACCTCCTTTGCAAAAAAGTGCCTCTAGATGACAAAAACATGCTGTACAGAAAAAGAGAGAAAAAACATGTAGTAAGATGGGTCTAGGGTATGAACTACTAGAAGAACAAACAAATCTATCTTGGAAGAAGTACAGCCATAATTATTCTTAGAGGTGAGGATGGTGAGACTTCATCTTAGATACTTTGGACGTGTTATCAGGAGGGACTGTCCCTGGAAAAGGATGTCATGCTTGGTAAAGTAGAGAGAGGGTCAGTAAAAAAGAGGAAGAAGCTCAGCAATATGGATTGACACAGTGATTACAATAATGGGCTCAAACAGCAATGGTTGAGTATGGCAGGACTGGGCAATGTTTTGTTCTGTTGTGCGTAGGATTGCTATGAGTTGGAACTGACTCAAGGGCACCTAACAACAATAACAGTAAAAGTATGGTGTAACCACTAAAGTCACATGTTTAGCACTGCATCTAACATGTATGGGCTGGATAATCTCTCTGTAACATTGCCCATTTTTTACCACAAGTTTGAAATACAATAAAGTGGGCAAAAACATTTTTCTGTAGAACTGATGTATTTAGGTTAAAGGTACAATGGAAATTTTACAGAAGTGCCAGGTTGCACAGTAAAGCAAAGGCTGTTTTGAAAACATAACATACAGACTTGGCCTGGGAGGCCTGGTAGCGTAGTGCCTAAGGCACTTGCCTGCTAACCAGAAGGCTAGCAGTTCAAACCCACCAGCCACTCCTCGGAAGAAAGGTTGGGCAATCTACTTCTGTAGTGATAGATACTGCCTTGGAAACCCAGGGAGGGGTCGTTATGACTCATGTCCGACTTGATGGCACATAACAACAACAACAACAACAACAACAACAACAGACTTGGCCTACACCTCAGTCAGAAGTTTTAAACATGCCAAACCCTTAATTTTAAAGTGCTCTTCTTAGTATCTTTCCAAGAAAAGGTAATACCTAATATGTTATGGCTGCCACATAATTATATGGAATTTATTTGATAAATTTAGCTTATATTTAGCAACTTTAATTCATTTATTTAAAAAAATTTCTAGGCATTAAGTGATTTCCTGTATATATCGACAGCTCTGAGAGTTTAAGCTACATTGAGTATTCCGCATATTGGTTCCAATGGGCACAAGAACTCTATGACTCACCATTTCTTATTCTATAAAGTGTTTAAAAATCCCTCCTGAAAAGAAGTAATGTATTTGATTAATTTTTCGTGTGTAACAGTTCTGGAGGGTATATTGGTAAGTGTGACATATAACAATAAATTGATTTCATTTGGAACTGCCAAAACTTCCCCACAATCTGAAAGAACACTTGGGATTCTGGCTGCCATACAAAAAGTGTTTTTAAAAGAACCTTTTCAAAAAGACATCTTTTTGTGTTCCTTGACAAGTCCGTGACTTTTTTTTTTTTCCTTCTGTATCTAGGAGCATCACTTTTAGCACTAAAATAGGAATAGTTATTAGGATCACTCTGTCTTGCATCAGTTTTTAATTAAAATAATTCTATTTAAGTCTCCATTTAGTATAATATTCTGTCTTCATACACTCTACAATTAATATTTTTGAATATTAATCAAGATGTAGTGTGTGTTACATTGAATTCATCCTTGACTGGGTTGAGATTAGAATGGTTTTTGGATAATGGAGGTTTACTGTTTAATTCCTTTGTCAAATGTGCTAACTATGGAATACTGAGAACTGGTAATGCAACTCAGTTTACTTACGGTGCCTTTTTCCTTTGTCTTGAGACCTCACATGAAAGGGCATAGGGGAGTCCAGGAGATTAACTAATATCAATCATACCAGAAGAAGTGTTGAGTAAAAAACTGCAAAGCCTAAAAGGTATTTTGGTGCCATTTAGAAAATATTTTAGTATATAAAATGAAAGTTGAATTTTAAAAATTGCCTCAAATTAGCGTTACTCTATTATGAAAAACCAATTTAAAAATTGTGAGCCTTCTACATAAAATCTAACTTCTTTAAAATATTTGTTAAACCTGATTTCTTTTAAATTTCAAATCTAATTCCATCTTGCTATTTTATTATTTTTTAAAAATTTTTATGTATTATAATTGATCATAGTCTGGTAAATGTGCATATAGATATAGCTATTAAGCTAGACTATGACCCAAACAATGGAGAGTCAGTTCTCTTTTCCTTTCCATTGGTCCTTGCTGTAGCTTTTTGAGTATTTTGATTTGCTGCTATATTGGGTCTTTACATTGTAGCGTTATATATAGATGAAGACTTAAAAAAAAACCCCAAAACCCAACCACTGCTGTTGAGTTGATTCTGACTCATAGTGAGCCCATTGTGTTTCTGAGGTGGTAAATCTTTACAGAAGTAGATTGCCCAGTCTTGCTTCCTTGGAGTGGCTGGTGGGTTTGAACCTTAAGTGTTTTTTAATAGGTATGGAGTATAAACATAAATAATTTGTTCTTCAGAAAATATGACTAGTGGTAGTTCCACTATGAGGAGTAATGATAATGCACTGTATTTAATAAGTTTGTTTAACAGATCCACAGTTATTTTTGCATTAGAGACATTAAATAACTTTTTTTTCTCTTTCCTTTTGAGGTTGTAAGGGAACTAACCAAATATACAAATCACTTTAGAATCTTGGCCCTCAGTGCCACCCCAGGTAGTGATATAAAGGTAAGTAAATATATCCATTTATTAAAATTAAAAAAATTAAGAACTGCTGTATAGGGCCTGATCAATTTTCCATTCTAGTATTTATCTAGTTTGACTTTTGGACTACAATATCTCCTGTAGCATATCTAGCTTTTCCTCTACAGTGGTACAAATTTTCTAAATTAGTTGTCTTTAGACATCAGTGTGCATAAGAATCACCTAAAGCTATTCATTAAAAATATGGATTTTTTTTTTAATAGTAAAAATATTTTTGTTACTATTTTCAGGTTTTTTAAAAAATTTTATTTTGAACTAATTTTAGACTTTCAGAAAATGTGGGAAGATTGAAAAGGTTCAGTATGCCCTTAAGCCAATTTTCGCTAATGTTAACATATAAGACCAGTTGCTATCAGATTTGTTGTAGGTCATGATGCCCTGGGAATGGCATTTAGCCCCACTCTGATCCTATTCAGGAAGCCAGGCTGTCACATCAGATCAAAAGCACAAGGTTCATTCATGGATCACAGGGAAAAATGGAATGCTGTATTCAGAGTGCTCCCTTCCACAGTTACATACTTGCTGTTAGTTACCATTGAGTTATCTCTGACTCAGGTGGCCCTATGTAGAACAGAACAAAATGTTGCTTGGCCCTGTGCCATCTTCATGATTGTTGGTATGCTTGAGTCCATTGTGGCGATCACTGTGTATTTTGAATACTTTGCCTAAGGCGTGTGACTGCTAACCAGAAGACTGGCAGTTCAAACCCACCAGCCACTCCTCGGAAGGAAGGTTGGGCAATCTACTTCAGTAGTGATACTGCCTCAGAAACCCAAGGAGGGGCTGCTATGAGTCAGATGCAACTTGATGGCAGTGGATTTTACAACCTAGCGGACTTCTTTCAGCACTATGTTGGACCAAATGGAAAAAACCAAACTCACTGCTGTCGAGTCGGATCCAACTCATAGCAACCCCTCCTTGGGTTTCCAGGGAGTATCACTATGAAAGTAGATTGCCCAACCTTCTTCCGAGGAGTGGCTGGTGGGTTTAAACTGCCAGCCTTCTGGTTAGCAGTCACATGCCTTAGGCACTATGCCACCAGAGCCCCTTCTGTGTTGGACAGTATTCTGTTATGATCCATAGGGTTTTAATTGGCTAATTTTTTAAGTAGATTGATTACCAGGCCTTTCCTTCTAGTTTCTCTTAGTCTGAAACCTCCTCTGAAATCTGTCCACCATAAGTGTTCCCTGGATGGTATTTGAAATACCAATGTCATAGCTTTCAGAAATACAACATGCTAGCTACCACAGTAGGAGAAACTGACAGATGGGTTGTGGAACATATTATATAACCATAATAAAATGATCAAAACTAGGAAATTAACACTGATACAATACTAATAACTAATATGCAGTTAGTAGTTAGTTGTCACATCTCCTAAATTTCTTTCAGTCAGTTACAGTTCCTTAGTCTTTTTTTGTCTTCTATGACCTTGATGCTTTTGAAAAGTAGTGGCCAATTATTTTGTAGAATTTCCCTCAGTTTGAGTTTGTGTGATGTTTCCCATGATTGGGGTTATGTGTTTTTGGCAAGAATGCTCCAGAAATGATGCTGTACCTTTCTCAGCACAATATACCAGAGGGTATGTGATGTCAGCATGTCTTATTACTGGTGATGTTGTTCTTGACTTGGATAAGGGTTCCTCCACTGTAAAATTACTACTTTTTCCCTTTGTAATTAAAAAGTCCACCACTTGTCCCATTAGTTTGTCATACTGTAGAGTCTTGCATGTTACTGTGATACTAGAAGCTATGCTACCAGTAGTTCACATACCAGCAGGATCACCCCTGGTGGACAGGTTTCAGCAGAGTTTTCAAAGTAAAACAGACTGGGAAGAGGGATGTAGCCAAGTCCACTTCTGAAAAAATTGGCTACTGAAAACTTTATAAATAGCAATGACACATTGTGTGATATAATGCTGGAATATGAGTCCCTCAGTTTGGAAGGCACTCAGAATATGACTGAGGAAGAGTTGCCTCTTCAAAGTAAGTTGTCCTTAGTGATGTGGATGGAGTAAAGCTTTTGGAACCTTCATTTGCTTTTGTGGCACGACTCAAAATCAGAAGAAACAGCTACAAACACCCATTAACAGTCAGAATGTGGAATGTGCAAAGTATGAATCTAGGAAATTGCAAGTTGTCAAAAATGAAATGGAATGCATGAAGTGAGCTAGGCATTAGTGAGCTGAAATGGACTGGTATTGGCCATTTTAAATTAGACCATCACATGGTCTGCTATGCCAGGAATACAAATTGAAGAAAAATGGCTTCACATTCATTGTTGAAAAGAACATTTCAAGATTTGTCCTGAAGTACAGTGCTGTCGGTGATAGGATAATATCCATACACCTTCAAAGATTGGTTAATACAACCATCCTTCAAATTTATGCAACAACCACTAAAGCCAAAGATGAAGAAATTGAAGATTTTTACTGACTTCTGTAGTCTGAAATTGACCAACTTGGAATCAAGATGTATTGATGATTGCTAGTGTTTGGAATGAGAAACAAGCATTGGTAGTTGGAAAATATGAGCTTGGTGATAGAAACAACTTCCAGGATCACATGATAGAATTTTGTAAGACCAATGCCTTATTCATTGCAAATACCTTTTTTTTTTTTAGGATTTGGGTGAAGATTTACAGAGTAAATTCACTTTTCATACAGCAGTTCACATATACTTTGTCTCATGTCATTGACC